ACTTAATCTGTGATAGAGTATGCAAACACCGCACGAGCGTCACTACTGGGAGCTGAAAGTGTCTGGCTTGACGTCTCCGCTCTCAATTCAGCACAGCATGAAGTCAAACACGCCTATTGCTTCCTCTCACGTGACTTTCCCTCATTCAATTACCCCCTTCAAACTCACGGCCTGATCCAAATTTTTACGACGGACGAAAGTTTCAGAGGCACTGTGTGTAAACGTGATTGACACTACATGAGGTATTTATTTTTTAACGTGCGAAAATATCGTTGAGAATTTCGGACGAAGGTCTTTGCATGGAGTCCGAAATTCTCGTCCGAAATTTTCGCACGCTAAAAAATAAATACGACCTCACATTGTGTCAAACACGTTTACACACTGCCTCTGAAACTTTTGTCCGTAATAAAAAAAAAATGTGGACCAGGTTCGATTTTCTGCGTTTCGCATCCGATCGTTCGTAAAACTATCCTTTCCTACTGCTTAACGAAAAAAACGCATATGAAAATTTTGGACTCAGTGTGCAAAAATACCTTTAGCCTGACCATTTTCCATGATATATCACCTCAAACAGCTAATCTCCATTCCCCCCCCATAGGGCATGGACCAGTTCATGAATTCCCAAACCACAGACATGGCCATTCAAAATGTAATCAGGCATTACCGCTACAAAAGAGTCATTGAGCCTTTAATCCAATAACATAAATCGTGCTCTCACATGGACTAAAAGCATAATCATGTTAAACATCTTGTGTGATCAAATGTCAATGTGATGACAATCTTGTTTCTTGAACTGGGAGCTCTGCAGACCATTTAAAGCTTAAGTTCCTGTGGTTTAGTCTCTTTGGTCTGCCAGATACTGCGTATAATTATGTTTGCGACGGATCTCACTGTTTTTCAACAAATCCTAGTTATGGGCCCTTCCACTCTTGGCATAAGCCTATTTCCACAAAAATCCGGCAGCTCGGGTTAATGGGTTACACAAAGATTTGTTAATTACAAAGATCAATATCATGCCAAATGTTATATATGTTCAACAAATACAACAAAGTGCCACTTGTTTGCAGGGCGCTTCATTACGCACATATCACATTACAGCGAGCGCCATTGCAACACAAGCACTCAAAGTCAAAGGCGTGGGTGAGTAATCTTGGACCATGTGGATTTTGCAGATCGAAAATGTATTATTTCTCTGTGATGGCGACGCAAAACTTGTTTGCAGCTGCCAGAATGCATAAAAAGTGGCATTTATGAGACATTCGTGATGCAAGTAATTTTTATTGGAAAACCGAAGGTCCCTCCACCACTCATAAGTCAAAACATTAGTCCAAATAAAAAGGTAAATACCATAAATCAAGATGTAACAAATTGGATATGGGGTGAAAGCACAGTACGAGTAAACATGAGCGGAAAGAGTCCTAAAACATAATTAAGATTAAAGCTGAGCTGAGGGAAACTTGAAATATGACATCACGAACAGCTGAATTAGAGTTGAGTGAGATGATTTAGTGGGAAATGAACTTCCAACACTACATATTTGAGGATTAATATGATACAGCCATGTAAATCTGTCCTTACAGACTATCAAACTGACAATAAAATGTAAAAAAAAAAAAAAAGGATTCAGATGCACAGATATTGCAAAAGTGTAGCAATTCAAGTCTCTTGCTCAAGTTTTGTGAGTGAACATCTCAATTGGCAAAACAGCCGATAGCACTGTAAACTATATGAGTCCGCTACTTAATCAGTTTTGCTACTTAAAGTGGCTTTATTACAAAATAACACATCATATGTGCTCCACATTAGTGTTAAAATCGCTATTGTTGTAGAATATATGGAAATGCACGCTCACAGGCTTTGAGGACTCAGGCTTTGAGGATCAGTGAGTTCTCGAGTACCTTTTTTTTCTGTTAAAATCTTCAGAAAGGTCAGAGGAGATATTTCAGGGCTTGCCTTCAAAGTAAACCGTAAAACGGCGACAGCATTCCAGCGAGAGCACATGGTTGTTTCAACTTCACAGGAAACAATATGCTCAACTCGACTCCAAGCGCAACATGAATATTTGAAGTTCATCTGCAGCACATTAGAATACTGAAGTAACGCACTGGCATGTAATCTTGGCTTAGAAAATGAATGATTGATTCTTTCCAAATAGAAAAGCTAAAAAAAAAAGAAAAAATATGGTCTACGCCGTGATGTTCACCATATTAAATGGCCAGTTCACCCAAAAATGACAATTCTGTCATCATTTACTCACCCCCATGTCGCTTCAAACACACATAAAAGACATTTTAAGAACTGTTCTGTTCATTCCTGTCAAAGCAATTGTAATGAATGTACACTAGAGTTTAAAAAAGCAACATTGTAAATTGTAGTCGTCTTTTGATGCCATCTGGCAACTTTGCATGAGAAAACGTCAAAATTAAAGTAATTCATAGAAAATCTGCCTCTCCAGCGAGCTGTTAAGTGCTGCAACTGGATTGCTGATTTAAATAACGAATCATTCAAAGAACTAGCTCGACCAACTAAAATTAGATTCTGTTTGTTGAACAAAGCTATCATGCAGCACAGAAGTCATACGACACTTTTGCATCATGTATAACAGTACATGGGAATAAAAAATGTCTTATGTTCCACAGAAGAAGTCAGTCATACAGGTTTTGAATGACACGAGGGTTAGTAAATGATGACAGATGTTTAGTTTTGGGTGAATTATTCCTTTACGTTTTTTTCCCGATTATAGTCTGATTATAATTTTACGGAAAGATCTTTATGGGGAAACTAAAAAACAGTCAAAAGCCACAAAAACCTTAAAAAGAAAAGAAAAACTCCAAAGAAAAAAAGTTTGCCTCTGCATGACCAATCTGTGAAATCAGCGAGAGCCCAAACAGTGTGCGAGCCATACAGATAAATCCTAGAAGCCTGCAAAAAGAGGGTTGGAGAAGGGAGGTGACCTAATTCAGAATGAGATTATGTCAGAGGATATAATTAACAGAGGATATAAATGGTATAATTAACCATTTGGTGTCAAAACTAAAAAAACAAAACAAAACAACAGCAATAATGACACATGAATAAACAGCAGCAGTGAACTGGAGGACGTGCGGTGATGTCATGCAAAGAGGGAGAGGGGTCTGCTGAGCTAAATTACAACAGCCATGTGACGGACCACCCAGAGGCCCTGCTATAAAATGGGCTGACTGATATTACCAATACTTTATTTGTGATTATGAGTAATACTTGCCAGTGGTTTGGTAAATTAAAACAAAAAAGTGACAAAAATTAATCCAGTGACTCAAATATAGACATTCATAAATAAACAATATAGTAATAAATGATTTTTTTAGTAGGGATTCTTTTAAAACGGTACCTAATTTTGTGCTTTTTCAGCGCATGTTGTGAGTGCACACCTGGTTTCCCTTTTCAGCCAAACAGCTTTACATAATTAAAGCTGTGGGAAAAGGAGGTATACCACACAATATATAAAAGACACAAAACAATCAAACAAAAGCGCCACGAAACATGCATAATCAAGGTCTCAAAAAAAAACAGAAGAGTCTAGTTCTTGCACTTTAAATAGTTATATATAAAAAATAGTGTGGTGGTTGATAAACAAGGTTAATCGCTGCTTAATATGCGTTCAATCTCCTCCAGTCTCTTCAAGGCAGCTGCCCTTTTCTTTTCGATATCTTTAATCTCTTTTGTGGATTTGCTCTTAGTCCGCTTGTCATCCAGCTTCTTTGATTTGCCGTGGCCCTGGCTGCTGATGCTTTCTTTGGGGGAGGATTTCCTCAAATTCTTCTCTTTCCTGGCCCCCTCCACTGCTCCTGAGGCAACACCCCGTGCTTCCTCCTCCTCTTTGTCCTGTTGTTGTTGCTCTTGCTGCTTGTCCAATTTACTACCATCCTCTGTTGGTGCAATCGGCTGGCCCGCAGCGCTCATGGCGGCCATTTTGTTGCGTACGATGGCAAGGTGCCGTCGGATGTACTCTTCGTGCGGGGCCATGGCAAGAGTATCCACCAGACAGCGCTCGGCACGCTGGAGCTCCCGTTCTTCGAAGTACACCACACAGAGGTTATGCTTGGCCTGCACGTTGCTGGGGTCCATGTTCAAGATGCGTTCGAAACAGGCCTTGGCGCCACGTGTATCCTTGCGGTGGTTCATGAGGATGTCTCCCTTGAGGATCAGGCCTTTGACGTGCTCCGGGTGGTACTGCAGCAGCTCCTCAAGCACCGGGAGAGCATCCAGTTCACGTTGTGACTGAGAGTAGAGAAGGGCCAAGTTAAACAAAGCGCTGCGGAAGCCGGGTTGCAGTTGAATGGCCTCCCGCATCCAGCGCTCAGCCTCTTCGTTCTTGTTAGCGTCCATTGCCAGCATGCCCAGGTTGAAGTAGCCGTTAGCATCATCCGGCTCTTCTTTCACGTAGGTGAGAAAGCGCCGGTTTGCCTCTGGGCGAAATTTTGCCTCACCTGTTAAAGAAGAACATTAGAGATGCAACTATTACAATTAAATGAATTCATAAAACAAAAATAAACA